GGATACGAGCTCAGCTATAGGGTGTGCTGTCATTCTCGTTAGCTGACCAATGGCCTCGCTCATAGAAGATCGAACACGCCATCTGATTGGGTGAGAATTGGACCTTGCCTCCCCTGTGTCCTTGCCCTCGCTGGGTCATTGCTCAAATGATCGCATGGGAGGCAACCGTGCAGGCGGTGGCGTTCTTCCGCTCGCTCTATGACCACCTCCGGATCCCGACAAGCTACGTCGTCCCGTCCAAACCGCCGTGGCCGACGTCCATGCACGGGCTACCGCTCGGGAGCACGTTCAGCAAACTCCGGACCACACTTTCTACATACGAGCCTGACAAATTTGCTGACCTCGAAGCGCTTGGCTTTGACTGGTCGCTGGCTCAAGGAATGCACCGCGTCCTCACGTACGACGAGCGCAGTGTCCGTTGCCTGCGCCGCGTGCCTCTGACGGCGCTCGTTGCAGCGCTGCAAGCGTTCCACAGCACCAATGACCACCTCGACATTCCCCAGGACTTTAAGGTCCCGACGCAAGACCAGCCATGGCCGCCGGACGCAGCCAACGTCGCCCTCTTCTACGCGCCGCAGACGCTCCGAGCTCTCTTTTACGAGCTCTCAGACGAGGATGCGGCTGTTTTGCATGGCCTTGAACTTTTTACCGAGTTGCCACCGTGGGCCGACGCTCGGTTGCTTCTCTTGCGCTTCAAGAGCCTCGTCCAGATGAATACGGTGCCACTCGATTTTGCAGTGCCAGCCACTTCGGATTGGCCGACGCAGTACCATGGCTTTGGGCTGGGCGAGCTCGCTTGGTATCTCGGCCTCAAGCGTGCGACGCTGCCACACGACAAGCGCAGCCAGCTACATGCCCTCGGCATGGACTTCAACACGCCGGCAACGTGGGCAGCTATCGTGTGCCGTCTCGAGGCTGGCGGCGCCGACGTCCCAGCAAAAGATGTCGTTCCAGATGACGGGGTCCCGCCCCCGCGCCTGGACTACTGGACGTCCAAGCTTCAGCAGGCGCAGATGCTGCACCTGCTGCCAAAGGCGACAATGGACGCTGTCTCTGCGATGGACGCTCGCCACTCGACGGCCACCGCCCGACCTGCACCGCTCGGCAGTGCCACGGCAGCTCCTACGCCGTCCAAACGCCGTGCAATGACGACCTGTGACGAGCGCTGCAAACGGGCTCGGGTCGGTGGCGAGCTCGACGAGTCGATTCGGACGGGACCGATCATCCGACACAAGCAGGCGGCATTGGACGCGCTTGGCGTTGACGGTGCAACCTCGAGTGACGAAGAGACCGACAGCTCGCCACCCAAGCCGCGCTCTGTTGAGTCAGATGGCGAGGTCAAAAGTGACGACAGCGAGAGCACGGCGGGCGCGTCGTCATCCGATGACGACGACACTCTGTTTGTCGATCGTGCTGGGCGCAAGAAGCAACGACGTGCGTCGACGTGGGAAGACAAGATTGACGCGCTCAGTGTGTTCTGCAATGAGCATGGACATGTCGACGTTCGACGGTCATTTCGCGTGCCGGCGTCGCCAGCATACTCGACGCACTTGCACGACATGGCGCTTGGCACAATCGTTGGCAATATCCGCAGTCAATGTATTTTGCTCACGCCCGCGCGCCTCCGCGACCTCGATGCCCTTGGCTTCCGTTGGCGATGCGGCGCGAGGGGTTACAGCTACACGACTTGCGAGATGCACCCAACCAACCCTCATCTTGGGCACCTCCAATTTGTGTCGTGGCAGGACCAGATCGACGCACTCCTCACGTACCGACGTCTCCACGGCGACCTCGAGATACCCGACGGCTTTTTTGTGCCATCGTCTGCCGAATGGCCGAGTGCGATGCACAACATTAAGCTCAAGTGCGTCCTTCCAGTGCTGCGCAAGCACGTGTACGAGCTTCCAACAGACTATGAAGATCGTTTGCATCGACCCGAGTCGGGTCTCATGCCCGACATTCCCAACTTTGATACGTTTCTGCGTCTGGTCACGATCTACCGCGACACGGTGGGCAGCGGCGCCGTCGCCCGGGACTTTGTTGTGCCACCGAATGACGGCAACTGGATCGACGAGTGGCGCGGCTTGAGCCTCGGCGACCTCGCGTGGTCCGTCGGCTTGAACATGGCCGCTCTCACTTGCCACAAGCGCGCGCTTCTCGAAGCCACCGGATTTGTCTTCAACTCGGCGGCGACGTGGCATCGCATTGTCGTCGGTCTGCGCACCTTCTGCTTGGTCCACGGCACAGCGTCCGTGCCGACAGCGTTCGTTGTGCCACGTTTGCCCGAGTGGCCGACAGATCTGCACGACATGCGACTCGGTCATTATGTCGACGTCATGACGTCGGCAAGAAGATACCGACTGCTTCCGGCGGCAACCGTCGCTGCCATCGATGCAATTGGAACGCGTGAGGAAGACAATGGTGCTCTCGAGCCAGCAGCGACGTCAAGTGGTATGGTTGGTGCGTCGCCAGCACCGCCGATGAATGGCGTGGACGAAGCGGCGCCGTCCTCGACGACGCTTGCCACTGCCAGTTTGATAACAGCCCAAGACGCACCAACAAGAGCCACTGACGAGTCCGAGGTCGCACCGGCATCTGCTGACGACACCGAATCTCTTGGCAACGACGACGAAGACACGATGGGTTTCGACGACGGAGGCATCGACGCCCATCGACGCCCAAGACGACGAGAACGACATCGAGCCGGCAGCGGTCAGTGGTTGCAGCGGCGAGTCTGCTCCGCCAACGTCGGTTCGGATCGGCACGGCCCCAGTCGCCGTCGTCGATAGCAGTGTCGCACCACCGCGCTCAGTCGCAGCGATGACCCCCGTCGGCTCGCCAGCGCATCAGGAGCCACTGCCAGCGGGTGCCAACGAGCCTGACGCCGGTGCGCAGCTTGCCTCTCGCTTCGAGTCTCCAGAGCTCAGTGATCACGCCAACGACCAGTCGACGCCCATGCTCCTAGCGCTAGCGACCTTCAAGACGCTCTACCACCATCTGGATGTGCCCCAAGACTTTGTGATCGAAGCGACGGAGCCCTGGCCAGCGTCCGTGCACAGCCTCCAACTCGGCAACGTCGTCATGTCCCTGCGCCTACTGACTCCGGCGTGTCTTGCACCGTGGATCGTAGCCCGTCTTAATTCGCTTGGTTTTGAGTGGACACCATTGCGCTTTGACTCGGTGGACGGCGCCATACAGCGTCTCGCCGCCGAGTTCCCGGCGCACCCGCCGGCATCGTTTGTGGTACCTGCCCAGTCGCCATGGCCGCAAGATCTCTGGGACGCCGACTTGCTCCAGCTGGGTGCCAAGCGTGATGCGTGGTTGGCAGAGATGACGATCCAGTACGGCGCGTCGCTGGCACTGCTCATGGGGCCGTCAGCCAGACCACCCGCACCGACATCCAAACGAGTCTACCCGGTGCAACTCGTGCTGGAGTGCATCGAAGTGTACCGCGCACTGCACGACCAGAAGCCTGTGCCACTACTCTTTCACGTTCCGCTGCATGACAAGTGGCCCGCTGCTGCGTCGCTGATGCCGCTGGGGTTCTTTATCTGGGCGGCGCGGGACCAGTGGGCGAATCTCGCCCCGTTGGTGCGCGCTGCGATCTCTGCGTTTGATTTGTCGCCCGACGTTGGTGCTGCCGTCAACGACGATGCGATCGATGCCGACGTCGGTGCCATGGAAGACAACGACCAACACAATGACCGAGACATTGCTGGCCCCGTCAACGACGACCCGAGAAACGAGAATAACGATCTCGCCCACGAAGCTCTCGCGATGGATGCTGTGCCTGCAGTCGCCGCCGCCGATCCAGCGCTGCCCGATGCCATGCGCCCCGACGACAGAGCCATCGACGCACGCGATGAGCCGGCAGCGCCTCGCCAAGTCTACCGTCCCGCTCTACCGCCAGTGCTCTCCGACGGGTTTGACTGGCCATTGCTGCTGGGTGCGTTGTCCTGGTATTTCATCGTCCAGAAGCACTCGGACGTTCCTGCTGCGTACGTCACAGAAGGCAACGTGCCGCTCGGCGACCTCGTCCGTCGAATCCGCCAAGGACACGTCCTGCTGCGACGAGAGCGTCTCGAGGCACTCGATCGCCTCGACTTTGACTATTCGTGCGTCATGTACAACTAATGGAATGTAATGTTTACGCGATCCTTTTTGCTATTAGTCTGGCTTGTTTTTTCCCCGAGCTGCCGCTGTAAACCAACGTTCAATTGCTTCTCTCGCGCTTCACAAACCTTGTTAGAGGAAGGTTGAGCCACTTGATTTTGCAGTCGCAGCGACATCGGATTGGCCGACGCTGTGCCACGGCTCACGTGCACGAGCCATGAGTCCAGTCGAGGCAATCCACTCGAAAAAGCCAAGACCCGCCGAACCTTGGACCTCTGCCTACCCAGAGCCGTCGTTATGAGCCCCTTGATCACGCTTAGTCGATCTTAGTCGTTGATCATGTTGTTCGATCGTCTGCACAAAAGCAGATGTCCGAAAGACGGGTCTGAAACCGACGCAGTTACACAAATGGGCGCTGGGGCGTCGACGCAGGACCTCCGGTTGCTCAGTGCTTCGGCGATTGCCGCCGAGGTCGTGGGCTTGGGCTCGGCCTACGCGCCGTACGAAGCCGGGATCCTCGCCAACGGCGTCGACGGCGACGTCGTCGCGCACTTGCAGTCGGAGCAGCTGCCGATGCTCTTTGGCACCCTTGGCGTCACCAACACGATCCACCAAACGAAGCTGGCATCGCTTCACAGTCAGCACCGAAAGGCGCTGCTCACGCGCAGTCTCAGCATGGCCAACCACATGACTGCCAAGCTGTCCGCCTCGCCCCGCAAGCCCAAGACATTTGACGTCTTCTTGTCGCACAACTGGGGCCACGACGAACTCGGGCGCGACAACCACGCGCGTGTCGCCAATATCAACGCTTTTCTGCGCCAAAAGTAATCGAACCGTCGACGCTTTCACAGCGCTGACGCTCGATGCTGTAGCGAGATCAAGACGTGGTTCGACCAAGATAAAATGCATGGCAACATTCTCAAAGCGATGGCCCATGGCATTGAAGAAAGTCAAATCGTGCTCGTTTTTGTGACGCAGTTGTACCAGACCAAGGTCAACGGCGACAACGCCAACGACAACTGCCAGCTCGAGTTTGGCATGGCCAAGACCACGCAGACCGCGCAGTGGATGATCCCTGTCATCATGGACCCGTGCATGAAGACGCCGCGCCACTGGTGCGGGCAGTTCAAGCTCGTGCTTGGCAATCAGCTCTACGTCGACTTGACGTCGGACGAGGACGACGCGTTCATAGCCGGGTGCACCACCCTCCTCCAACGCATCGACGCGCTCCTGCTCAAGCTCGGGCGACCCTCGGTCCTGCCTCCGACGCACCGAAGTTCGCAGGAGACGCAAGCACCGTCGTCGCCCCGCACGACCGACAGCGCGAGCGAGCTCGTTACGCTTTTTACGACGTGGCAGCGCGGGATTGAAGCCCACGACGTGGACGCTGAGCAAGATACCGTCGCGGCCATCGTTGACCAGCTCTCGTCGCCCGAGGTGGCGTTGCCCTCCGGGGGGTTTCCGTGGTCGTGTCTCGCGCACGGCTTTACCTCGTTGTCCCTCGGGCTCCAAGACGATGCGTGTGCGATGAGCGTACTGCTTCTCGATCGGCTGCCGACGACCGCCGAGTCGCTCCTCTCGTTTCCAGCCGTGCTGCCTTTTCTGCTCGAGGCCGTGACGCGCCCCCAAGGTGACGCGCCCCCCAACGCGATCGTTTTGCTGTGCAACCTCAGCAGCGTCGAGACGGCGGCGCCGGCGCTCTTGGCTTCGCCCGTCATCGAGCATCTCTTGACGGGGACAGCGACCGAGGCCGACGACTACTGGCTACCGCGCCTCGAAACCGTGGCGAATCTCGCAGGCTACGACGCGGCCAAGGACGCACTCGTACCCTACTACGCGCACCTCGTCACGATCATGACGGGTGTGCCCAGCGTCGCGTGGTGCATCTTGCGCATCTGCTTGCACGTGGCAGCGCACGAAGCGAGTGCTGCCTGCCTTCTCGAGGCCAATGTGTTGGAGGCGATGCTGGCGTTGCTGCCGCGCCCGGATGAAATGGTGCTCAAGGTGGTGCGCCACCTGGTCCAGCAACCGCTGGCCGCGCTGCGCGTGGGGTCGTCGGCGCTCTGGGGCAGCTACCTCTTGCAGCAAACGAAGGAAGGAACGTTTGAACATCTCTGCCACCACACGATCGCGGGTCTGAGCGTCGAGAGCAAGAGCATGCAAGCACTCCTCCCGCACGCCCACGCGTGGCTTCCGCTCTGGGCAGCCGCGATCGCCAAAGGGTCGTTGACGGTATCAACGATCGCGTGCAACCTCTCGCTCCTGCCCGAGTGGGTGCCGCTCCTCAGCGCGCACGCCGAGCTCCTCGACGCACTCGGACAGAGTGTCCATGCAGCGAGCGACCTTGGCGCGGCCAAAAGTTTGGCCAACTTGTGTACGTGGGCCCAAGAGAGTCAGGCCGACGCTCCTGCGCTGCAAGCTGCGCTTCGAGACCGAGCCGAGACGTGGGCGGCCTTGGCGGCCTCGACCAGCGACAGCGAAATGCAAGTAATTGCGATACAAATCCAGCACACGCGGCAGGTCGACGCATAGCTTCTGTATATTGATCGTCTTCCATCCTATTCAATATGTCTTTACGTTGGTTTGGCATTGGTGCGTCGCACATGGCGCGCCGGCTTTGTCGGCGACGGTTTGATCGGAGACGGTTTGGCGGGGGGTGCTTTCTTGAGCTCGGCAATGTACGCCGGATTAAATATCGGCACGTACACCACAGGCGAGTCGGTGCCCTGGGGCACGATCACTTGCTGCATGAGCTTGCTCCACGGGTACACGCCGCCGTCCTCCAGTATGTGCGCGGGGACACCCAGGAGATTCTTTCTTGCAGTGTCCTTGTGCTCGATGGGCGGCAACGTCTTGTCCGATTTCGTCGCCGCTTCCTTTCGTACTTCGGACGCCTTGTCATCGTTTATCGCTGGCTTGCGCTGCCGTGGCGCTTGTATTCGAGTTGGAGGCTTCTACGCTTCGACGCTGAGCCCTCGGGTCGTATCGAATGAGTGGGGGCTTACAACGGCCGCTCGCACTTTGCGGGGGCTCTCGGGGGGCGCGTCGAGGGTGGAGACGCGAGACCGTGTTGGTCGAGCGTAGCTGGGGGGCGGGTCCTCGGGCTTTTTTTCTTCTTCGTTTGAAGAATCCTTGGTCAAAGGAATCGGGTCGAGCTTGCGCGGGCTCTCTCGTCGCGGACTCGTGTGTCCGGCTTTCTTGGGGCTCGTGCGCGGCGTCGACGTCGTTTGTGATGTCTGGTGCAACTGCACATAGCTCTCGTTGACAACGAGCGGAGGCTTGGTCGCTTGGCGCTGGCGCTGAAGAAGCGTGAGCTCCTCGATCTCCTTGACGACCTTTTCGATTTCAATGTCGTAGTGCTCGAGTTCGTCCAGCAAACTCGATGTTGTGGACACGGGGACCGTTGCTGCTGGACCCACCAACATCGAGCTCCCTGTGAGCTCTGGCTCGTTCCTACACGAGCTTCAACAACACATGTCGTCGTGAACGCGCATACCGAGGTGGGGCTACTGGCATCATGGGTGTTTTGCTACCCCACATGCGCCGTGAAAAAGGTGAGTGAGAGAAATGACAGCTATGACGTACATGGCCAAGTCTTGGGACCGGGGCGGCAGGTTCGGATCTGTGTCAACGTCTGCGATAGCGACATTGCTGCTGGACGCTGGCGACGGCACTGGGTAATGTACAATGGGCTTTTTTACAATGGCGTGCACCCGGCGTGGAGACGCCTGCATGAGCCTACGCCATCCACACTCCATGAGCTTATCTCGCTGCAAAAAGCATTTGGTTACGTTGGCTCGTCTTGAACGGGGGTCGTTTGTCGCTCTCGATCATTTATGTTCGACGCTTCTGGTAGGCGCACAGCGGTCGACGCCATCTCACCGTCTGCTCTGCATGTCGTCTCATCCGTCGTCAGCTCATCGTCCTGATATCTTGGCTCTTCCAATTGAACTGTCGTGGCGGAGTCGCCGGTCGCTTGGTAGAGATCACGGGGTTTCTCGGAAGCGGTGCCATCATCATCTTGGTAGTCGTCATTTTCAGTCGCTTGGACAGGCGTAGGCTCCGTTGCCGCGGGCAATGGTGGCCTTGGCTCACGGGTCGAGCCGTCGTCCTCCGGGTCCATCATTGACGAGTCTCGCGCGGTCGATGATGGCTTCAAAGTCGTTTGTGGTCGTGCCATCACGTGACCAAGGCCGTCATCCTCATTGCTTCTTGCGTCCTCCAGGTGCTCAGACCGTGGAGAGTACGGCGCGAGCTCTTCCAGCTCGAGCTTCTTTTGCACAGGAGCATTGCTAGGCGACATCAAATCCATGAGCTCAACCAATGACGTCGACGCGTCAACGTTGGTGGGTGGCGTCGGCTCGAGGCCTCGACGCGCTGCCTCGGGCTCGGGGGGGCCTTGGGCTCTGCTTTTTTCGCCTTGGATCTTTGCCTATCGTAACAATCGCACTACCACCCGGTGAGTTGTTGTGGTGTTGAACCTGGCGCGGGTCTCGAGGGCGAGCTCTTCTTCGTACGTTAGGATCCGCATCTTCTCCTCCAACGTCCCTTCACCATCGGTATCATCGTCGTCGCTGCAGTATGGCGACATGTCCAGGATCGACGACGTTGGCGGCCGATGCCCCGCCATCTACTGCACCGTTTACGTCTGCTGAAACCGATCTAGAATAAAGTTATAAACGAGTATACTACCATTCTTCCTTCAACGTATATTGTCCAATTTATACTCGATAGCGTCGATAGCCTGTGCATCAACTCTATACTAGTACCCTTCCGTGCCAAGCGACAAGTCCGGGGGCTCCGTTGTCGGCGCCGCAGCCTCGGCGCGATGTCGTAACCGAGCCTCTAACAACTAATACCTCTATCTTTGTATGGAATTGAATATTGAGTGTAGAAGGTTTCGAATGGACCGTTTTTCGATATTTCCTCGTCCTGTCGCAAGATACGTCATTGCCAGATTCGCTGCTCGGAGATGACCAAGGACGGCCCGCCGCATCTGCGCTCCAAGACCAAGGACCCGCTCGACAGCACGTGGCACCGCCACATGGTAGGCGCGCTGCGTCGCCGCGATGGGTCTAACGCCATGGGCGTAGAAGGACGGCGACTGGGTCGCCGACGTGGCTGTCGCCGAGTGCATGGTGTGCAAGGACGAGTTTAGCTTCTGGAACCGGAAGCACCACTGCCGCCGGTGCGGCGCCGTCGTCTGCGACAGCTGCTCCAACAACCGCACGCCCCATATCCACCGAGTACGCGCCGCCATGGGCTCGCGGCATGATGTGTGACGCATCTGCGGTGTAGGAGCTCGCGCAGACGGCAGACGAGCACGCGCGCGTGTGCGACTTGTGTATCCAGGTCATTGACGAGAAGATTGCGCTCGGCTTGCACCAGCGGTTTGGCAAGACGGACAACAACTGGACGCCGGCGTACGAGGACGAAGAGCCCGAAGACACCAAGCCCGCGTACTCTGCGTACTATGTGCCACCCAAGACGGAGCGCAACGGCCGCGCCGTTGTCACGATGGGCCGGTATCGGTACGTGCCTTGTACCTTTTCGTTCGCGTCTTACAACGAACAACTAGCGCCGAGATCAAGGAGAGCGAAGGCAACCGCTACATTCGAGACTGCGACCTCTAAGCAACCTCGCCCATGTCTATATGTACAATTCAAATTCTAGCGTATATCACCTAAGCGTGCACCAAACTCGGACGGATCCTCGACACCCAAGCACGGAGAGGCAGCGTTGGTTGCGAGCTTCCATCAGTACATTTGCCACGCTCTGGAGACCAGAGCATCGCGACCCTCTCTCCAATCCACGGAATCACCTGCGTTCAGCAGGTGGCAAGGCAGGGTACCTGGGAGGCGCAAGTGACAAGCACGCAGAAGCGAGGACGTGTTCTTAGACTCACTACTGCGATCTATTCGCACAGACGTATTGAGTGGAATGCTCTGTTCTCGCAGGACGTGCGTGGCCTACTTGACGTAGTCGTACTGAGCGTAGCGGTCACTGCGACGGCTGTAGTGGCGCCGGGCAACGAACCCGCCCACGGCAACCACAATGACCGCCGCGAAGACAAAGCCATAGCTGCTGCTGCTGCTCGTGGTCGAGTCGAGCACCGAGGCCGGCGACGCACCGTCGACCGTGATCCAGCCAATGATGTGCTCCTTCTCGTACCACTTTTGGACCTCGTACGAGGTCGCGTTGCGGTGGACCTGGAGGCGGCGCGAGTAGAGGCGGTCCTTGGGCCAGATCGTGTCCTCGACGTTCTGCTCGGCAATGTCGACATGCGTGTCGGTGACATTGACGACGACAGCGACATGGCCCGTCTCCGCCATCTCGCCGTACGCGCTCCAGATCAAGAGCGAGCCGAGGCGCGGCGGCGTCGCGGCGCCGTTCGAGTGCTTGGTCACGGCCACCGCCGCCTTGGTCGCGACGCGTTCAAAGGCCGGCAAGTCGTAGATCTGGAAGGCGTAGTCGACGTCGCCAAAGATGACGCCGTAGTTGATGTACAGGTACCGGCGAGCGAGCTCGACGCACTGCCAGCGCACGCCCGTGTAGACGCCATCGACGTAGTTGGGGTCCATGTCCAGCGCTTCTTCGCCCGGCGGCAGGTTGCAGGAGTAGACATCGACGCCGCCATCCGTGACGCCAAGGCGCGTGCCAAAGGGCGCGGGCGACTGCGCGGCCTCGAGCGCGATCGCCAGCAGCAGGACGAGGAGGGACCGCAGTATGGTGGTCATCGTCGTGGGGATCTGAAACGAAAATGAATTCCGGCTTCGATCTCATTTAATTCCTGCGCTGCGAGGAGGCCACAATATACTTGAATAATGTATTGTCCCCCAAGGATCGGCATTGTATTTGAAGGACGCTGTGATTGGACGATATTGGACATCCCCGCACAGCTGATTGGCTGCTTTGCGCTCGACTGACAAGCGAATTCTCGAGACCTCGGAAGATCGCGACTCGCAGCCTGCGAGTCGCAGGAGTCCTGATAGTAGCAGTGTCGAGGGCATGATAGACGGCATGATAGACTGCCTGATTTTTTGTAGCAACAGAGTTATAACAGAGTTAGGCACCCCTATGCCGTATCCTCCATCCTCAAGGCATCAAGGCATCGAGGGGACCATGTGAATGGATCTTTGTGCGGTAACAGTACAATTTGTTGCGCTCATCGCTGAAAATACCTGCAGAGTGGCGATGCGAGATAGCGTTGTGAGAAAAGCTCAAACTTTGGACGAGAGAGGCCTTCGCACAAGAAAAGAGTGCCCCTTTTACAAATTCATGTGAGGTCATGTAGCGCAAACCACGAATGATGAGCTAGAGTGATGACCATCAAGGTGGTGGCATTGGGCTCTTGTAGAAGCATTGTGCGGGGCTCGAACCCATGCCCAACTGGTGAAACGCCGGAGACGAAACCGCCGACCAAACACGTTCAGCACCCTGGGTCTGTTTACGCTACGGTGAGGAGTTGAAGTCGCCCACTAAAGGGAAGGTCAGAAGTTCCATGAAGAAAATGGGCCATTCGAAAGATCGTTTACGTGTGCTCTACAAATCAAATAAGCTTGGGCCTCGTATTGATCGGCAGCTCCATTCGAGGCTTCAAGGCGAGCAAGCGACCTTGTCCGCACAAGCGCTTTGACTTCCGTTGGCTGTTGGTAACTTCCGAGTCTGATCTGGACATGGCGGCCTGCATTCTCGGGCGTAGCGTAGCCGAGAGGGTGCAACAAGATTATGGTAAAGATAGCTGCACAGACGCTCAAGGCGGCCTTCCCGCGGTGCTGGTCCAGTGATGTCAATGAATCCCGTGCATGACGTGTCGCGAATGGCAGTCTGGTGATTGGTTTGTTCACTCCTCGTCGCCTTGATGTAAACCACGGAGAACACCGAAATTCGCATTCATGCGTTTTATCGTCGTTTGACCGATAGGTTAAATGCGTGTCATCACGCGCGAGTGGAATTCGCACGCCGTGCATGTACGTTGGCGTTTGATATCAAGCGCATTTACTCATCCAGCACCGGTATCAAATGGCTGTCGTTACCATCGGCTTCGCCAGCGAGTCCCAAGAACCAAGGGTCCGCGTCTCCGAGCGAGTTTCAACATCTAGTATTGTCTCCAGAAATTCAACGCTGGACAGGTCAAAAGACCAAGGGACGCTTGTTCCCGCCCACTAGACACCAGATTGTCGCGAGAGGTCCCAACCAGTGTCGTAGCTTCGCATCTTGGCATGACCTTTCTGCATTTGGGGCGCTCCGGCGCTATGCAAGGCGCATCCGGTTCGAATTAAACCTATTTCAGGCGCATTACGTTTTAGTCGCATCCGCCCAAATGTTTGTGCTTGCGCGTGATTGGTCAGCTGATTACGACACATATTATTTGCCGTCGCACAACTCCAATGACATTCAACTTGGTGTTTGTATACCATCAACAATATTAAAATGAAAGACCACGATGATGGTATTTAAATGGCGCCAACTCACGATTACGAATGCGGCCAAGGGCAAAGTCGCACGCATCTTCAACGCCCAACCGCCGAACTGACACAACTCAAATAAGTTCTTACCACCAAGATCGAAACCATGACATATACCTTTGCCGAGTCGTCGTTCGAGTCGAAGCGCGGCGTGGCCATCTACACGCGCGAGTACATCCCGACGTCCGACGACTTTAGCACGGTCTTTCTCTTCCTCCACGGCGTCGGCGAGCACTGCAGTCGCTTCCACGCGTTCTTTGAGCACCTTGCGAACCAGCCCATGGCCGTCTTTGCGATGGACCACCACGGCCACGGCAAGAGCGGCGGTGAGCGCTTTGACATTGACCGCTTCGAGTCGTTTACGGAAGACATTCAGCAGTACACGGCGGCGATCCGCACGCGCTTTCTAAACAAGTACGTTTGCGTACTATTTGTGCCGTCTTAGTCTCATGGTATGGAATCAATAGGTCGGTCAAGTTTGTCGTGGGTGGCATTTCGTTTGGCGGCCTCCTTGCGGCCAGCGTCGCCACCATGAACGACCATGTCTGGGACGGTGTCCTCTTGCTGGCGCCCGCGATTGGCATTGAGATGAACGGTGTGCTCAAGGTACAGCAGTCCATGGCACCGCTCATCAACAGACTCGTACCCACGTGGAAGCTCGTGCCCGCCGTCATCCTTGAGCGTACTACATTTTTCTTAGGCGTGAAGCTTATCGTTGCTGGTCTAGATTTATCGCGCAACCCCGACTTTGTCAAGGACTATGACAGCGACGAGCTCAACAGCCGCGGCAACCTCCGCGTGCGCCTCGCCTTTGAGATCTCGCGCGGCATGGAGATGCTCAAGGCGCGCGAAGCGGCCTTGACAGCGCCGCTTCTCATCCTTCACGGCGACAAGGATGTGGTCACGAGTCCTCGCCTCTCCAAGGAGTTTTTTGACCGCGTTCCGTCGACGAAGAAGACGTACGCGAGCCTCCCAGGCCAGTTTCACTGCATCATCAACGAGCCCGAACGCGACGACAACCTTGCGCTCATGACCGATTGGATCCAGCGCTTGTAAAGTAATCGAATGTAATAGCTAAAGGTACAAAGTTGTGTCGCTCCACAGGTAGACTGTAGGCATTAGAGAGCTCTGTCGTCGCCTCGGTATCTCTATCGTGTTTGGATCGACAAGCTCGGTTCTAGTCCGAATTGACTTATTCAAGTACTCCTGGCTACCCCCGCGTTGCCGATTAGATAGTAACGTCGTTTGATTGGTCTAATTTTATTGTCGCACGACGGCAGAGCCGTTGGATTGGCTCAATTTGAGTACCATGCGGTGGAAAGGCGGCAGCTGTGCCAGCTGTACTGGTCCAAGGGAATGTAGTGTGCCAGCACTCGTGGGCGCGACGTTGCCCGTAGCCCCGACTGTCGACCGAGAGATCAGAAAGCCAACTCTTGCGAGAACACGTCACTGTCGAGCTCTCTCGGTGCGCCTTCGTCCTGCAGCGCACATCGCCGACACGGGATTTGGACCTTGAAGCTGCGACATGCGCAAGGCAGATGACCGGTCCATGTCACTCTCAAGTTGATGGTTCTCGACGTCGCGTGCAGAGCTGGACCTCAGTTGCGCCACGGGTCTTCTTTCTTGACCTGGTACTGCACGCAGAGAGACGCAACGCCACGATACCGGCGACCGCAGTCACTACAATCCAGCAGCAGCAGAAAAAGAGACGCTTGTCCTGTCTGTCTGAGCTGCAGAGCTGAGCTGAGGCGGTTCGGACGACAGGCCACGAAGTGCACACTGTACATCCCGCGATCACCGTGCTTGCCACCTTTGGAGCTCCTCATCTTCATCCTAGACCATTAGCAGGGCGAGCTGGCTGGACGATATGGAGCGGGTGATGCGAGGCTAGATTCTTGGTATCGACGCGCAGTGGACCGACGCCTTCGTCGGGTTGATTCGCTTCAACAAAGGGCCGCAGCTGGGACAAACCTGTTCAAAATCCCAAGTCCACCACCCGTTCTTATCCGGCCGTATCATCCGGATAAGCAAAATACAATCCCTCTATACTTGACATTTGTAGGGATCAAAAAAGTGATGTAAAAAAGAGCGGTATCTTGTGAGCTGGCAGCCGAACTGACTGACTTTGCATTTTGCACATGGCGACGTCTAGCACCAAGTCGCGCGAGCCCATGTCGCTCGAGCGAGCGCAGGAGGAGGACATCAAGCAGCTCGAGATGCGGCTCTTGACCACCGAGCAGGACGCGTGGGCGTGGTACCGCGTCATCTGCCAGTTCCGCTTCTCGTACCTCTCGTTTCTTGTGCTCATGGTCATCGTCATGTTCTCCTTCTCGGTGCTCATGGAGGTCTTCTTCTCGGTCTTCTTGCCGTCGGCGCAGGCCGCGCCCGGCTTCATCTTGCGCTCGCTCTTCATGCTCGGCGCACTCCCGATCCTCATCATCCTCCTCTCGTACGTCTTTGAGGAGTCGACGCGTCTCTTCCGCGACGCGCTCGACAGCAGCGAGGGCAGCTTGCCCAACTTTCGCCTCTCGCTGGCCGTCGTCATCCACTACATTCGCCACTACAGAGAGATGCCCCTCGACGACGTGCCGCGCCACATCACATACGACCCGTACTCGGAGGACAAGCCGCTCGTCGACGACACGATCAAGGAGAAGGAGCAGAAGGAGCTCGTGCACCGCCACATGCGCCCGCTCCGCCGCTGGCAGCTCGCGATCCGCAGCGTGATTCGCGCCAACCGCGCGGCCGTTGTCTTTGGCACGACGCAGTACAACGGCCCGCCGATCGACTACTCGACCTTTGTCCTCGTGGATTTCATTTGCCCGATCTTGTTTGAGCTCGTGACCGCCGTCGCCGCACTCCTCGTGCTCTGTACGTCTCTTGATACGGTCTTGATACGGTCTTGATACGGAGTTGTGTAGTCGACACGTTTAGCATCAGCGACGCGTTTTACCGCTACCTGCGCGTCGGCTTTTACACGATGGGCTTTTACCTCGCGCTCTGGATGGGTCCGCAAGTATCAAGATATCAAGTCGACTTATACAATGTCTAGTGTCTAGTGTGCCATTACTGGAGCAGCCGCAATGCTCGCATGCGTGAGCTCGTCGCCAACTACCACCGCACACGCCGCGAGCTCGAGAAGAAGATCCAGGCCATCGTGCACGAAGAAACCTTCAAGAGCTTTTGGCTGCTCGACCTCGGCTTCCGCTTCGTGCTGAGCTTCCGCAACCTCGTCGACCGTGCGACGGCGTGCATTGCGCCGGCCTGGTCGTGCTGCAAGTCCAAGCGTGACGACTATGTTGAAATCGACGCGGCCGCCGTCACGCCGGTCGCGGGCGACGAGGCCAATACGCTCAGCGGCAAGGCACTGGCGCTTCGCGAACGCGTCATGCACCCGTGGCGCAAGCTGACGCTCGACCAGCGCCTCCTCGTGCTCATCCCGTGCTTGATTCTGTCGGCGTACCTCTCGCTCGCCGTCTTCTTCCTCGGGTGGCCCATCATGGGCTTCTTCCTCGTCGTTGGTACCTCGACCATCCAGCGCCGCTGGCCGCAGATTTTCGGAAACGCGTTCCGCCACTTTGTCATTTCGTTCGTGCTCGTCTCGTTCGTCTTCTTCTCGATGGCGTTCGTCGTCGGCACCTTCGTGACGGGCGGCGACTTCCACGTCGAGCCGCCGCACGCCAACGTGGTGCAGTACACGCCGCTGAAGCACTGGGGCGACATCCCGCGGTACCCGATCTGCGACCTCCAGAAGAGCGGGCTCAACATCATCGACTTCATCTTGATCGCGGATGCTGCGTACGGCTCCAACACGTCGCTGCAGATCGACATGCTGCACAAGCGCTTCGACAACACGGCGCTCAAGAACTGGAACTTTACCGACTTTTCCGACAAGAATTCGGACCACCAGTGCTGGTTCCAGGTCGACTTTCTCGATGTGAACGCGACGGTGGTCGCAATTCGCGGCACGGCGTCGGCCGCCGATGCGCTCGAGGACATGCACTACTGGTTCGGCATCACGATCATGCAGTTTGCCAACGTCTTCATCCCGTTCTTGAACCAGCTGCCGCTCGACTTCGTCGTCCAGCTCCTGTCGATGAACATGCTCGAGCGGTTCACGCCCGAGCCGGTCTACATGCCCGTGCTGCGCAAGGTCCAGGCGCTCAAGGCATCGGGCAAGAACGTCATCCTCACGGGCCACTCGCTCGGCGGTGCGATGGCCGCCATGGTTGGCGCAGCCACCAAGTCGCCGGCGGTACGCGCACGATCTCATATGGCGTCGACGCCTCATGATGGTTTCTTCTTGTAGATTTCCTTCTCGGGCCCGGGTCTCGTCTTTAGCCGCGGTCGCTTCCACATCAACGAAGAGGACGTCCGCGACTACGTCGTGACCATCAAGCCCCAGAACGACATCGTGCCCCGCGTCGACGTCCTTGGCGGCCTCGTCCAGGACATTGAGTGCCGCAAGAACAACCCGCTCTTCTGCCACGGCTCGTCGACCCATGCGTGCGAGCTCTACATGACGTGTGGTGACAAGCGCGGGCGCGACTGGTCCCAGGCCAAGCAGTGCATCCCGTACGTGCAGAACCCGTCCGGCCGTACCGACTTGTAGGCGCAGCACAGAGTGTTGTTGTTGTACATACAATAAGATTCGCATGCGACTTAGCCGTTGCCGGCCGCCGAGACGCGCGGGACGTCGTGGTGCTCGGTCAGGTTGCCGAGATATGTCGAGTACTCTTCGACGCGCTCGCGGTACGTCTTGGACGCTTGCTTGCGGATGTCTTCCTCTTCCTATCGACATGCATCGCATCATGAGCATACCGATGCAGGTCGCAAGAGGCTGCGTACGCGCTTGGACTTGAACTTGGCATGCTTCTTCTGCGCGTCCGTCATGCCACCCATCGGGACGAGGACGACGTCGTCGTCGACCCGGACCTTCTTGGACGTCGTCTTCTTCGCCGCTACCTCTCCATCGTCGCCGTCCTCATGCTTGCGGCTCGTCTTCTTCGCCTTCTTGGTCTTCTTGGCCTTGACCGGGATCCCCTTGGCCTTGAGGCTGAGCTTCCCGCCCATGATGTTCCGGTACCCGTCCATCGCCACTTGGAAACTGAATATTTCCAGCGGGTTTCGAGAAACCCTCTTATATTTAATATATTGCAAAGAAGGAGTTTCCCTGAAACGGCCTTAGCACATTGGCTTCAGCACGTGTTTAGCACAGTACATGGCCAGTATGAAAGCAATGTGATAGCCTTTGTTCGTAGGGAGCTTCTCCGAAATCATCTTGTTCAGAAGGGAAAATCTCTCAATACATCATCGTGTCAACGTCTCGGCAACGATGTAAGGGATTGCTCCAGTATTGCCGCGAGCGACATGGCCGAGGCCACCGAGACCGAGCGCCGGCCGAGCCTCGTCCACCGCGCCCACCGCATCTCAATCGATGAGCACACGCCGCCGCCGTCGCCGGTGGCCCATGCGACGCCCTACGACGCGCTCAAAGTGGCGCCCCACCGCTGGTACAAACGCCAAATCTGCAGCTTGCGTCACCTCGAGTAGGCGCCAGCACGTGCCCATCGCCGTGTACCTCGTCGTCGTCGTCAGCGTGCTCACGACCCTCTTCTACTACAGCTTCTTCGCTGCCAAAGTCAATGGCCAAGCGCCGGCCATGATGGGCTGCCGGTACTTTGGCTACTGGAAAGGACCGAACTGCGGCCTCCATGGCATCGACTGCCAGCCATTTCAGACGGACTGGTTCGCCTTTCGGTGCCCCAGCGGCTGCCTATCAGGTGCGCTCTAGTGCCCACGCCTTTGCATTGAATGGACCTTGTGCGTAGATCAGTCGTCCGTGCTTGCGGTCATTGGGTCGGGACCGTACCGGTACTCCGCTCCATCTTCGACGTTCCGACCACGACAGCATGCTTGTGACTAGCGGCGACTCGCGCATCTGCAAGGCTGCGATTCACGCCGGTGCCATCAGGTCGGGCGGCGGTTGTGGCCTCATGCGCTACGACGGTACACATATCCCATCCATCATCTTCGTCGTTCATATCGTGCTCATCAAAGGCGAGCGCATGAGCTTTGCAGCATCGACCCAGCACGGCGTCACGACACAAGCGTTCCCATCTTGGTTCCCCAAAACCATGTCGTTTTACCTGGACGCCGCTTCGATCTCGCACTGCGTCGACCTGTCCTGGTACATCTTCAGCGTCGGTGCCGCCGCCACGCTCGGGCTTGCTTGGTTTCCAGCACTCTCGCCGTTGCTTCTCACGCACGTGCAGTGCATTTGGGGCTTCATCTACGTGACGCTCATCGCGTCACCCACCAGTAGACTCGATGTTTTTCGTGCTTGCATGTCTCGATCGATGGCTTAGGCTTTGACTATGATACGCTGAGCCTCCATCTCTTCACCGACATTTGCATCGTCGTCGTGGCCGTGCACTGCCTCTACCTCTGGGTCGCTCAGTATACGTTTGCGAAGTACGCGTCGTACTCGCGCAAGGTAAAAAAGCTCGCGGCCCTCTTGATATCTTGATCCAATTGCACAGGAACGATTTGTGTACTGGGGCCTCTTGTCGGTCGTGCCCTTTCACCTGATGCTGCACTTGACCCAGTTTGCGTTCCTCCCGTGGCTCGTACGTACGGCACACATCGACTCGTTCATCTCACACCGCCGACGCCATTAGAACATCAACTTTGGGGGGTACAGGGCCACGCCAAGCGTGAACGTGTGGACATACATCGTCTTTGGGCTCGTTGGGCTCGTTGCTCTCGGCCTTGCGTTCCACCTGCTGCGGCACCTCTACCAGCAGAAAGCGCTCCTCTCTCTTCTCGCCTTGTACGTACTCGTGGCGATCTACATGGCCATCGTCCATGGCTTGTACCCGCACACGCTCTTGCATCTCCACCACGTGCAGATTGGTCTGCTCCTTCTGCCGGCCACGGCGTTTCCAACGCGATCTGCCTTCTTTGTGCAGGCCATCGGTCTCGGGCTCTTCATTCAGGGGTATGCGGCGTGGGGCTGGCCGACCTTTCTCGACACGCCTCGTACACTCTCTCTTCCTCGCGTTCACTTGGGACTGACGCGATCCTACCTGGGATAGCGGCGTCCTACTACCTCGACGCGCCCATGACACCGCCAGACGTGCGCAACATTTCGTCGTCGACCGCAAACATCTCGTGGCCCGCGCTTGTCGACGTGCAGGGCTACGCACTCATGCTCAACGACGTCCAAGTGTACCGCGGAGTCCGCAACTGGACGCTCGTCTCGGACCTCCGCCCCAACACGACGTACTTTGCCCGCGTCTCGGGTACGCCGACCCTCGAAAGACACGCACCTGATACCATACAATAGGTATTGGCAACGGCGGCGCCGACGGCAGCATGGGGCCAATCGCCAACTTTACCACGGCCATTTAGTTGATACCTTGATACTTGCGTCGACGTGAAAGAAATAAGTATTTGATATCTTTGTTTTTCAATCTCGAGTGACTCGGATGCTGTTCCTTCCACGAGCCAAGAACGAGGTGGACAACGAGGCGGCGTCGGCAGCTCCCGTCGGCGGGCTCGTCGCGTGTCCTGCTGCTTTCCCTGCTGGCCCACGTCCCGTACCCGGTAACGGTATTTTATCGTCGTGTCTCTGCAGTATGAAATAGTGTGGGGGCAACGCTCACGTGTGACGTGAGCAAGCGTGGTGAGGACCGGAGCGTTGTTGAGAAATCGAGTCCTACCGCCATGGCTCGGCCACACGACCTTGCCAGTAGAGTGCACGATAGCACCCAAGCTATTAGCACACGAATGGTGGCCGTCGAGCACAACACTATTTGCGTCCCGGATTCGCGCCAACATACGCATGGGAAAGACGCAACATAACGAGACTATTAGTATGCAGCAGCAGCAGCGAGGGCCGCCACCCAGCGTGCGATGGCGCCGCCGAGGCTCCGCCGCAGCCAGCATCGCATGCCTCCTCGCCACCATCGCGGTCGCCACCTACACGACCGGCGTCTTCCATGTCGCGCTACCCACGCCCTCGATCGACGAGCCGCGCAACCTGACGCTGGACCGCGTGCCTGCGGTGTGGCAACCCAGCGAGTTCGAGTGCGTCGCGTGGCGCGCCATGAGCGACTGCGATCCCGTGTCCGGACAGCGGCGTCCGTTATCGGATCAGTCCTGCGATGCACCCATCGTGACGGGCCTCGCAGGCTACTGCGAAGTGCGCAACCGGACGAGCGGCGACACGTACCGCGTCATGGCCACGACGTGCCACAGCATCGAGCGCGGCGTCAACTTTACGTGCAGCATGGCGCGCGCGTTCACCGACTTTCGCCATCGCGCTGCGGCGTACGAGCATGCGCCATCGATTGCGGGCACGGCCAGCCGCGGCCTCGTCTTCGCCATCTACCCGGCGGTCGTGCCCAGTGTGTCTGCCATCATCCAGCTCCTCCGGTCGTACGGCTGCCGCTTGCCGATCGAGCTTTTCTACCGGCACGACGAGATGGACCCTCGAAGAAACGCTGTGTTGCAGCGACTCGAACAGACCGACAAGGTCGTGCTGCGCGCGATCACGGACCCGCGCGCGACCCGATTTCGCACCAAGCCCTATGCGCTCTACCACGCGTCGTTCGACCACGTCCTCTTGCTCGACTGCGACAACCTCCCGCTTCGCGACCCGACGTATCTCTTCGAGTCGAGAGCGTTTGAAACGCACGGCGCGCTCTTTTGGCCCGACTACTGGCAGCCGTCCAACACGCTCTTCCACGTCGATGGCGAGAGCCTTCTCTGGGAGTACCTCGGCGTGGCATTTCCAACGGGCATGTTTGAGCAAGAAAGCGGCCAAGTCCTTCTGAACCGCGCGACGTCCGTGCGAGCGCTGCAGTACCTCATGGCGCTCACGTTCCACCCCAATGTCCTCGACGACCTCAAGCTCGCGTACGGCGACAAGGACCTCTTCCGCCTCGCGTTCCTCGCGACGTCCACGCCGTTCCACTACATTGCGGCGCTGCCAATGATCGTCGGCACGCAGCTGCCGTGGCGCGCGCATTTCTGCGGCATCGCGATGGGGCAGCGCGACATGCACGGCGACATGATATTTCTGCACCGCAACAGCGCCAAGCTCAGCGGCGACGCGTACCAAGTGCCGCTCCTCACGCACCTGCAGCGCTTTGACCAAGGAAGGTCGAGCGCGACCAAGTACAAAGTCGCGTGGACCGGCGATTTGGAGCCCGGCACACCGTGCTGGTCGCTGCCGTGGCTGCTCGCACCGTCGAGCGTCGAGGCGCTGTCACCGACGCACCCGGTGGTGCAGGCCGAGCGCAAGGCGATTGCATTTGCGGTGGCGGCCGGAAATCTCCTCTTGGGCGCGCGCCAAGCTCCGATCGCGGATCGTCCGATGACTGTAAATGCGTGGACGTCGTGGCTCTTGGCGCTGGCCGCGCTGCTCTACGTCGTCTTCGCCATGCGCCAGCTACCGTCCACGTGGCTGCATGGCTCCAAGAAGAAGCGTAAGACGTCGTCGTTGGTCGTCAACGATTGCGTCTAAAAACCCCGATGGTCTAATTTAGCATGTTTTGAAACGCTCGTAGTCCATCGGTCTACAGCGTGAGATCCAAGAGGGCGTGCAGGTGACACGACTGCGGATGGCATGGCGGGCCATGAACGAGCGCTTTCATCCGACCACGGACAACGCTAGCAATCCAAACGAGGTCAAGCCGACCACTCGGCGACAAGCTCTGCTAAAAAGGCTCAAGTGGTTCTTATGCCAATACACACATCACGGTCAACGCGATGGGGCACAAGGACCCTCCCTACCTAGGTACTGGTTCGCCATCGGGGCGGGCGACTGCACCACCTGCGCGACAACGACCCGCCGAGCGGATGGCACCAAGTAGTCTCGTTGGGTCTTTAGTCGATAACCGCGTCGGGTTGCCGTCGCTTCCTCGATTCTTATGTCGCCGAGTCCGCTCTCTTGGCCCATCCGACGAACGACGAGCGCACTCGAGGTCGACTGGTCTCTTCCGAGCCGTGCGAAACATTGAAAAACGCTGGAGCAGAGAAAGCAGGCTGGTCTCGACCGTGGGGGGTGAGCCTGTGGGGGGGACACGCTCTGATAACTACTATGGTATATATTCGAGGGGTAATTGGCGGCCTACAAGTCGTCGCGCACGTCGTCGTCGGCGTCGGCGTCTTCGGAAAAGTACTTTTGCTCCATAAAGCTGTCAAAGATCGAGTCTTCGTCCTTGTCGGCAAACATGTCGGACGCGTCGTCGCGCATGAGCTCTTCGAGGTCGGGGACCTTGAGCTTGTCAATGTCTTCCTTGTCCTTCTGGCTCATGTCGTCGAGGAGCTTCCCGCTGTACACATCGTCCGTAAACTGCTTGGTGAGCGCCATGTACTCGTCAAAGTCGGTCGGCTGCTGCGCGACCCAGATGCAAAAGCCGATAAACGCAAGAAGCGCCAAGGCGCGGTACTTGGTCTCCGACGGGTCTGTCTTGCGGAGGCTGTAGAGCGGCTTGAACGAGTCAATGACGCCGAGGTTGTCGTCAAAGATGTTGGGCAGAAACCAAAACTCAATGCCCGCGAGCCAGAGGATAAAGAAGGCGAAGAGCCGCACGATACAGAAGACGATGATGACAATGAGGAACGTGACGCTGAGGTACCAGACGCCAATCTTGGACCACTGCGGCCAGATCGGGTAGCACACGAGGCCCGTGAAGCCCACAATGAGCGCGGCCGTCAAAAGTTGCGGAACGTCTTGGGGCCATCGTACATCCACGTGTAGAAGCCGTCGGCCGTAAACTCGTGGCTCTGCGACGGCTGCAAGAGCTTCTTGTTCTTGGCATCGCGCTCCGACTTGTGGATGAAGCCATGCGTCACGAGGAGACGACCCATCTCGAGCGCGTCGTCCTTGGAGGTGACCGGCGCCACGCAGTACTTGCTCGCCGAGTCGTGGTTGATGAGGAACTTGCCGAGCTTGTCACCGCGGAAGAACTCGACGCGCTTCCCGAGCTCGATCGCTTGCCGGACCGGCATGCCATTGCGGCCCCGGAGAAAGTCGGCCATCTTCTTGACCGCCTTGAACTCGGCTTCCTCCTACGCACATGCATCGTCATCAGCACCAAGGTAGACGCAAGAGAATGAAGAAGCATGGAGCGTACCTCCTTGGTCATGGGCGCCGCCGGGACCACGGGCGCAGCCGCGCCATGCGAGTGATTGCCGCCGCAGCAGTCCGAACCCATCGCTCGCTCGCGTGTACTTGGAATGAAAATGGGAAGTGAATTTTTCAGTTTCCATACAAAAAGCGGTGACGTGGCTACGACATACAAACGCCAAGTGGTTTCGATCGTCCGGATACAGAACGCACATCCGGTCGAACAACATGTTGATGCGAACACACTCGACACCAAAGGACGCGACCGCGTGGCCACACCACCGACCTCGATGCGGACGCCGACGCAGAGCGCACGCAGCGGTGGCGCGAGCCCAGGGCCTTCGCCAAACGATCTGGCCTCATGGCTTCCAGATGCAAGCAAGCGCGGCCGGCGAAACGCGTGGTAGCCATCGGCTCGCCGCATGCATCCAGCGGCCGGTTGGCGACAATGGATCGGCAAGCGTCGACATAGCGGCGCAGTGGGTCGTCTATGCAAGCGTGCGCATGGCGTGTTGGATTGTAGAAGGCTCGTTCCAGTCTGCACGTTGCGGTCTGTTTCTGTCCGACCTTTCTTCGCCCTTGCCAGCAGGTGCAAGGTGGCTTGCGGCGATCGCACGGAGGAAAATCCTCGAGATACGTCGTCGCACGTCGGACCATCGGCTGGGCGCTCCATGTCGCAGCGCACTGGGGCTTGCCAGTACGTCTCCAGTCCCTTGATTCATTGACATACACCACTTGCACGGACACACACAGTGCACTAAGGTTACGGAAACAAGTATAGAGTACATGATGGGTTATGCTAAATATACATCCAACAACGGGATGATGTTACACGAGCAAGCGCCGGAGGACGCGAAAGATCGAGTAGACAAGATCCTTCTCTTGCTGGGAGAAGCGGTTGAGGACCGTGCCCTTGTACGCTTCGCGCACGAGCTGCCGGCCCAAGCCGAGAGCGCCACGCTTCCCGAACGACATGGGGTAATAGACAAAGTAGGCTGCGATCGCCAAAAGGGCCGTTGCCACCAGCAGGCGCTTGGTCGTCGACCCGACCGGCGCCTTGCCTTCTTCAAGAAGCGGCGACGTGAGCAGCGGAAAGTTGGGGAGAAACCATACGTGGCGTCCCGTAGCGAGCCAGATCCCGAGCCAGACGCTCACGCGCACACATCCTACGGCTGTACTCGCAAGCGCCAGCGTGACGCCGCTGTTCCAGACGGCCGATTGCGCCCAGTGCGGCCAGAGCGGGTAGAGCGTGCAGAGGCCCGCAAAGCAGACCAAAACGACCGTGAGCACGTTGCGAAGCGTCGCCGAGCCTTCGTACATCCACGTGTACAAGCCGTCGGTCGCGAACGACTGGTCCTTTGCAATCGCGAGTGTCGTCGGCGCGCCCTTGAGCTTCTTGGCCGCCGCAACCTTCTCGGAGCGGTGGATAAAGCCGTGGTAGAGCAGCGAGTGGCCGTAGCTCTCGATCGTGTCGGGCGCCGCGCCCGGGAAGCAGCGGCGGACGTCCTTGCCGCGAAAGTACTCGACGCGCCGCTCCATCTCGATGGCGTCGCGGTGCGTCTTGCGCGAGCGCAGCGTGTCGGCGATGGCTTGCGTCTCGTCCATACCGAGGACGACGGTTGGCGATGCGGCGGTCGGCGCGCCGTGAGCAGCGCGGGGCGAGGCCTCGAACTGCTGCTGCAGGAACGAGTCCATCGCGTCGGTCATCATCATCTGCTGCTGCGGCGCCATGGAGGTTGTCGCGAATGCGGAAATGAGCCACTCTGCGTTGTGTACTTAGTGATGGGATCAGTGCTGATTGCGTATGGCCCCTTTGGATTGGCTACAATGTAGCCAATGCGAACGCGCCATTTAGCATCTTGGATTGATTTGGCGGGTGGTTTGTATACTATACAATACTCAAGCTATTGGGCTACGTGGCCAGCACTTCGTTGTCCGAAAAACAATATCTTGATATTTGTATTCGGATCGCCAAAAGGAATTGTATTTCGAGAAGCTTGTTCTTTGTATGGGACACGTGGCACAACCGAATTCGAGAAACCGACCTGCCAACGGCCACCGCCGAACTCGATGACGTGGCCAGCTCGCAACCCGAAATGGAATCGAGCAGCGGTGAGCTAGGTCGCTACTTGCACCAGTCTCCTCCTCGAGGCTCATCCCAGAGTATCCATTCGCCAAACCAGACACGAAAACCAGATACTATAAGACTGGACAAGCACCGACATTTTAAGACAGACCGCTCAAGATACGGTCGACGGCCGCGTTGACGTTGCCGAAGGTCGCTTGCAGCGCGCGGAGGTTCTGGTCGCGGTTCGTAAAGCCCATGTCGACGAGCTGCGTGAGTTGGGACGCGTAGAGCTCTTCGGGGTTGCCGGCCGGTGCGGCGGGCGCGCCGCCAAAGCTGCCGGAGAAGAGGTTGTTCAGGAACGGGTTGCTGGCGCCAGCACCAAACGGATTGTTGGCGCCGCCCGCGCTTGCCGGAGGCGCCCCGAGGTTGCCGAGCATGCCAGAGCCCTGGAGCTGCTGCATCGCCGCTTGCATCTGCATGATGGCCTGCAAGCTGGCCGGGTTCATCATCGTGCGAAGCGTCTCGGGGTTGAGGAGCTGCTCGCGCACCGCAGGGTCCAGCGCCTGGAGCTGCGGGTTCATCTCCATCATCGAGCGCATCATCTCCGGGTTGTTGCTCATCTGCTCCATCATGCCGCGCACCATCGGGTCGTTGAGCATGGCCGGGTCAAAGCCACCGGCGCCGAGGGGATTGGCGCCGAACGGGCTAGCGCCCCACGGATTGGCACCAAACGGACTCATGCCCGTCGCAGGCGTTGTCGTCGTCGTCGATGGCATGCCCCACGGGTTGGCAGGTGTCGTCGAGGAGGTCGTCGCCGCAGGAGGCGTTGGCGTCGCGCCACCGACAGCGCCGGGCATCGGGAAGGCCGAGCCAGGCATGCTCATACCGCTGCTCGCAGCGTTCATGAGGGGCTCCTGGACTTCCGTGTACATGCGGCGAAGCGCGTTGAAGCCTTCGGGATGCGACTCGATGTTCCGGAGCGCCGTGTCTTGGTTGCGCATCATCTCGCGCATGGCCGCGGGGTTGCGCATGGCCTCCATGCTCCGGCGAAGCATCTCTGGGTCGTTCATGACGTGGTTGAGCTCGGGGTTCTGCTCGAGGAGCTGGCGCATCGCTGGGTTGGCTTGCATCATGTTGCGCATGATCTCGGGGTTGTTCATGAGGCTCTGCATCATCGGCGACTCCATCATCTGCTGCATCATCTCTGGGTTCTGGAGCATCTGCTGCATGCCAGGCATACCGCCCATGCCACCCATGCCACCGAACGGCGACGGGCTAGCACCAAACGGCGAGGCACCGAAAGGCGAAGCACCAAACGGGTTGGCGGCCGGGGCGGGTGTCGGCGTCGCCGCTGCTGGGGCAGGCGCCGCCGCCGGTGCAGAAGGCGCGGCCGGTGCGGTCTTGGCCGCAGCGCCCTTGACAAAGTAGATGGTCTGGTTGGCCTCGAGTTCGTAGCTGGCCAGCGTCAGCTCGTCCTTGAGGACCTTGCCCTTGTAGATGAGGCGCTGGAGGGCCGGCGCAACCTGCGTCGTGTGCTCGAGCTCCTCCTTGAAGGCCAAGACGGTGCTCTCGAGCTCGGCCTCGACGTTGAACTTTTCTCCGTTCGACCGCTTGACTGTGACCGCCACGCGCATGACGTCGGCCGCTCCTTTCGAGAATCGAAAATGACGGCTTCCGCCACGGCGCGCATCGGGATTGGCCAAAAAGAGGCCAATTACAGAGGACCCGCACTCCGGATATCATCCGGATACGCACACGTTGAGACTTCGCGAACAATGCAACAACAAACGACGGTCGTTGGTTCTAGATTGTCCCTCGTAGTAGCCGCTATACTCGCTTGCTCGAGCGATGAAGTCCTTGACCAGGTGCTCGTCGTTGCAGTGGTCTCTTCACGCCTTACCCGACGTAACCTCGGCTACAAGCTCGATGTCCAGCCCGACCAAAGTTATTTATGCGCCCTTGAGCCGACCCTGCTTCCGTCTCGTTCAAGCTATACTCTTTCTTCCACAAACTCAAGTTCTCGGTTGACCAGCTATCTTACACCAACTTTGTACATGGATAGCGCCTTGCATTGTGGAGACCAAGCTAATAGGAGCGCAACTGCTGGGTGGGGACATGGACCGGGTGCAACGCAGCCACGCAATCCCCATTCAACAAACGTGTCCTTGTCCATGTGCTTGGGTACACTCAAAGAGAATAGGAGCAACCGCATACTAGGCGTTCCCGCCACGTCATTATTGTTCCCGCCACCGCAGTTTAGTAACGCCATCGCGATACGAATCCTCCGCCGTCACTGATTGGTGCCTTTTCTTGCTGTACACACGTATGATTGGCCCATTCTGACCAATCATACGCAGACTCTCGGCGCTCAGCGTCTAGAACGCGTCACAATCAAACTTCTCGAGCCATGGGCAGTCACCAGTCGGCGCCGCAGACGCCATCCGCGTTCAACTTTTACACGACGGGCGAGCAAGTCGCTTCCGTCTTGGCCGCTGAGGTCCCGCAGAAGGTCGTTCTCATCACCGGCGCCAACACGGGTCTCGGCCTCGAGACAGCGCGGGTCCTCGCGGCCAAGGGCGCGACCGTCGTCATCGCCTGTCGCTCCGCCTCCAAGGGCGACGCAGCTGTCGCGTCAATCGTCGCTGCGCAGCCCGATGCCAAGGTGTCGTTCCTGGCGCTGGACCTGGCGTCGTTGGCGTCGATCAAGGCGTTTGCGACTGCGTTCGGCGCCCAGTTTGAGCGGCTGCACGTCCTCATCAACAACGCCGGCGTCATGGCCTGTCCCAAGGCGCCAACGACCGACGGTTTTGAGACGCAGTTTGGCGTCAACCACATGGGTCATTTCTACTTGACCAAGCTGCTCTTGCCGACGCTCATCAAGACGGGAACCCCGAGCGCGCCAGCCCGCGTGATCAATCTCGCGTCGCTTGCGCAGTACCTCTTTGCGCCCGAGGAGGGGATTCTGTTTGACGACATTAACGGCGACAAGTACTACCACCCATGGGAGCGCTACGGCCACGCCAAGCTCGCCAACGTCCTCTTCGCCAAGGAGCTCAACAAGCGGTATGCGAGCCAGAACGTCATTTCTGTCTCGCTGCACCCGGGCTCGATCCCGAGCTCGGAGCTCTCGCGCTTTGTGGGTCTTGGGAACGCTCTGCGCGCGATCTCGGGGCTGCGCTCCGGCACGTTGCGCCGGCTGTGTTTCGAAAGCTTCAAGTCGATCCCACAGGGCGTGGCGACCACGGTCGCGACGGCCCTTCGCCCCGACGTTGTGCCAGGCGCCTACTACTCGGACTGCCAAGTCAGCGACGAACTCCACCCGAAAGCGACAGACGCTGACCTTGCGGCCAAGCTCTGGGAAGTCAGCGAGACGCTCGTCGAGGAGGAGGTGGCCAAGCTGCCGTAGTCTCAGCGATCTAACTCTCGTTTGATGTTCTATTTCTCTTGCTCGTTGTTGGATCGTTCCGCAGTAGGACGCAATCTAGTGCTAGACCACGACGAGGTCTCACATACACATGACATTCAATTGTACATGGCGCACGAAAAGTCAAAGTCGAGGCGGTCGAGTGCCTCGAGACGCTCGCGTCGCAGCAGGACGCGTCCTTGGCGAATTTGACGGACGAGGTCGCCCAGCGGGACGTTGCCTTCTGTGACATACGCAGCAGGAACGTCCGAGTGCTTCTGGACGATGAAGTACCAGGACAACGCACCCAGCAGCAATGGCCAGTCCAACCCGTCGGCTGGCGGTCGAGCGGGACGGTAGACTTGGCGAGGCGCTGCCAGCTCATCGCGTGCGTCAATGGCTCCGTCGCCGGGGCGGATGGCATCGGGCAGCGCTGGATCGATGGCGACGACTGCCGGCACAGCATCCATCACGACAGCTTCGTGGGCGAGATCGTTGTTCTCGTCTCTCGGGTCGTCGTTGACGGGGCCAGCAATGTCTCGGTCATTATTGAGTTGGTCGTTGTCT